GAAAGAGATGGTGACCTTATATGGAAGAGAGGGGACTGGCATAGACTTCTCAGAGGCAAGCCCTTGGAAGAGAGCAACTAGGAGAACGGTGAGGAAATGCAATGATGACGACAATGAACACAAAGAAGAGTGAAATGACTGGAAAACAGGACAATTTGGGAGGGGGAAGGGAACTGAGGGAGCCTTTTATGAAACGGATGTTTTCAAGGGAATGGTGATGGGTGCATGGTGTGAACTTTGTAACAGCACTAAAATAGTTTAACTGTAAGTGTGTTTTTGGTCTGCCAAGTGAACCACAGCAGTTACATGACAGGTTGTTAAAGGTACAGTTATGTATGTATGTGTGTATATGTGTATATATATTAGTTGTGTGTCTATATATAGAAATACATATTTTTGAAAAAAAAATCAGTATATGTTTGCCTAATATGGGTCATGTGTTTTATAGTCATGCTCACTGTTGGCTGCAGTTCATCCACTTCATAGTTGGTTTCCTTTAATGAGCACATGCTGCTTTTGGCAGCAATTTAATGATAGACAGTGTATTTAATGAGGTGTCCTTGTAAGTGAATGTAAGATGAGGAGCTTTTCCCCCCCGATGATGGTTGAGGGGAAGGCTTGTCTTATATTTGAGTATATATTTTATTTCTCTCTCCATGATTTGTGAAGTGACATAGTAACTGTTATTGGACCAGTGTGTATAATTGGAAGATATAGGAGGCAAGATCTTAGGCTTTAAGTGTCCTCATCATTTTTTAAAATTATTATACAGTTTGCCATTCTAAAAATAAATGAAGTTGCTTATGTTGTGTACAGACTTCACTTAATGCTTTGACTTGTTTTGAACATATAGAAAAATAAAAGGTAAAGATTCTTATTTTGTTTTCATGTCTTCAGGTTGTGCATCTGGCCCAGGCAAGTTTCCAGATTGAGGCCTTTGGTTCCAAGTTCATCCTTGACCTCACATTGAATAAGTAAGTGTACAATTGTGGGTTCCCTGTTATTTGAAGTTGACTTTGTAATTATATATCTGTACAGCAATTTATGTGAGAAAAGGTATTAAGCTGTGACATGTGTAATTCTATGAGCATGGGAAAACTAACAGACTTCCCAAATTTATTGCTACAGTGAAATATACATCAAAGACGTAAGCTTCTATAAGATATATAATCAATTGTATTGTGTCCTAAAACATACTTTCCTGTGAGGTTATGTTCCCATTCAGCAATCTTTGTATATTTTTTTTGTAAAGAGGGGAAAATAGGGACAATACATATCTACATTTTGGGTCCTCAGGAACCCAGACATAACAAAGCTGAAAACCCAACGAGTATTAAAAAGAAATAAGCATGATGTATACTATTAACATTTTTATTTCAAAAAGAGTTGCTCAAAGTTCAGGATTCACTCCACTCCTCAAAAGTAGGCATCTCTTGGCTATGAAGTGGCAGCCAAGAAGAAAACTGACAAGCTGCATACTGCATAAGAATAATAAAAGATACTTCCTTTTTTTTGGTTGCAGCTTTGATCTTCCTGTTGGTAAATGTTTTGTCTGGCTGTATTTTCTTTGGAAATTACCATTGCCTCCAAGTACCTGATTATTACACAGCTGCCTGATTCACATAAATTAACTTTAATTTATTTATCTAGGGTCTTGCTCAATTTAGATTTTCTTTAGACTGATGTCCTTGCACTTTTCCTTCTAGTCTTTCTGGATAGAACACAAGCAAATGGCAATTATTAATAAATAACTAGGGGTACACCCACAAATTTTTTATTTTTTGGGGGGGCTGATATCGATGGACGATTAGGAACAAGCCATATCAGCTGATGCTGATCTGATTTCAGATATGCAGCCCTTCAGCTTGGAGAGCAGCGTCCAGCTGGTAAGTCTGTTGGGGGAGAAGGGGTGGGGGAGGGAAGGGGTGTAGGCCCCCCGCGGCAGATTGAGGCCCCCCCGGCAAGGGAGGAGAGGGCTGGGGCAGGTGCTGCCCAGCTGGAGTGGGGCACAAGATAGAGCTGCGAGCATGGGGAGGGAGTGGGGGTTCCTGCTGCTGTGTGCACTCCTGAGGGAGGTACTGGGGGATGTATGCCTCTCCACATCTGTGTGTAGGGTAAGGGTGGGCTGGGGCTGTGGGGCAGCTCTGGGACCTTCCCGGTGGGGGTGGGTGGGCCGG